GGAATGCCTACAGGATGTGCCAGAGGGGTTGGAAGAGCCAGAGAACAGCAGAATCTGGTTCTGTGTTTGGGTCTGAGTTTTTTATTACCATCCTCTCTGACCTGAGTTTCAGTAACGGATGCAATGTCGAAAAAAGCTGGTGGCTCCACATCAGAGCTTGTCTTTGTACTGAGTGTCAGGTGCACCTCAGTTACCGCCACGTTGAAGTAATCCCACACTCTGGGGCTGTAACATTTCAAATCTGTCCCACTGCAACATCAGCAATTTTACTCAGCACTACTGGTGTGAAGCTCTTGATCCTGTTCACCAGTAGATCATAGGGGCACATCTGTCTGACCTCTGTTAGGATAGACAGGGCCATGTCATCCCTTACAGAGCAGGTGAAGGTGGCTCAATGGTCCCCAGTGGTGAGAGCATTATGCTGAACACTTCAGGATGTCATTAAATGAAGCTTAAAGCCATTCAGCATATCACAGAGAAATCCCAGTAGTTTAATTTAATGAATGTATGTCAAATGTGACTCACTGAAAATTAAGAGGTAAGGCCTTTGGGGAGCTGAGGAGCACCCGGGCTTCAAACTCAGTGTCTCTCAGTATATTGCTGACATTTACAGCCCACACCTGAAACAAATAATAGAATGTAAAATGGCGTAGTTACAGGATAAAATAAGAATAATGTAACAGTTTACTCCAAATTACTGTAAAACCTTCTCAGGGATCTTTCCAGCATGAGAAGAGGCTTGGCATCATCAAAATCCTCTCCTTCAAACTCACAAACAAGACTTCAAACAGAAACAAAACATGTTGTTTTACTCTTCACTTCATTAGTGGCAGATGGGCGTGACATAGTGGTGGACCATCTGTTTGTGTCTCAGCAAGTCACTGTTCTCTCAGCGTACTTTGCTCTTCTCCAAAATGGTGGTATAAAACACGGGAGGAGAGGCATCATCTTTCAGCATGAAGAGAGGAGTTGATCAGCATTTAGTTTAACTGTGTTTTTAAAATATAGTTGAAAATGTTTAAAGTCTCTAGTAAAAGCAAAACCTCTCTGACATCCCTGATGGGTTGTAGATTCCTCTGCTGCCTTCAAGAAAGGCCACTGATATTTTGTTGTTGTTAAAATATTATAGACTGAAAGTGGAAAAAGTATGGAAATAAATCTCCACCAAAATGTTTGACAGCCATATTTTGAGCACTACTCAGTTTGCAAGTCAACATTTGAGAGCGCACAGGCACCTATTTGTAGGCCCAGA